TCACTTGGTTCTCCAATTCCAGACCCTAGTTCAAATTCAGCCTTTTTGTATTACTATCAAATATTATTGCTACTTTCAAATTTAGAACTTCCCAAATAGATTTTCAGTTATTCTTGTTTTCTAAATTTATTGTGCCAAAGCTTCTATAACTAGATAGTGTAACCAATATTACAAGTTTGATTCTAGATTCAACTAATAATTAATAACTATCAACTATAGTATAGCTATTTTTTTGAAATCATTGTCTATAGGATTTGAACTCTAGATCTGCCACTTGGAGAGAGTGACAATTAGACTACTACACTAAGTCACTATATTTCATTTAATAGTTTTTTTTTTTAAATATAAATTTTTATTTTTTTATTTAAGTGATTTATTTTTTAATAGCTTATTTTATTTAAATATAAAAAATAATTTAGCATAATGAGAATATGAAAGTTTTTAAAGAAAAAAGAAGTTGTTAGAAAGGAAGTTATTGGAAAAAGAGGAAGAGAAAATTGTTAGAAAGGAGAGTTATCAAAATAGTTGTATTAGAGAAATAATTGTTAGAGAATTGGTTATTTGAAAAGTGCAATCACACTAGTTTGTTTATACTAAATTAAGGGTAGGGTGAACGTCGATTATTTTTACTAGTGATTATGTTACTAATTTTTTTACAATAACATTTAATTGAAATCAGGTGATGATCATATGATATTTATATTGTGTAACTTAGGCAAATTTTGATCAACCTAGAAAGAATTAATGATATATGCAAGTATATTTTCTTTAAATAATACAGGAGTTCAAATTATTATAATTAGAATTAGAAGGGTCTAATCTATCTACCCTAAAACTTTTATGAAACTCGGTTACATTTTTAAAAACTTTTATATGTAACATGTGTTCAATTTTTGTGTAATATTTTTTTGGTTAATCTACTTATATAAGAAATGATCTACGTTCACCCTACCCTTAAGTATAAGACAAATTTGTTTTATATTTTATATATAAATATAGTTTTAAAAACTTTCAAAATTTTGATATAGTTTTAGAATTTCAATATAGTTTTGGGGTTTGAATTTTAGTTTCAGAAGAGTATTAAAGTTTTAGTTTCAGTCATTAGTCCAAAGTAGTTTTGGATAGCATAGTTACAATTAAATTTAATAGTTATAATGTAATTACTATGTCGTTATTGTATATTAAGATATTTAAGTTTTTACAAAGTATTTTATACTTCAAAAATAAGTATTTTTTTTGAAAATTGTTTAAAGCAAAGCAAATTACATGTTATTTAACCAATCAAATTATAGATTTTGATAATTGCTAATAAAGCAAACCAAGAAAAAAAACAAAAAACTTAAAAATATAAAAAATAATAGTTTGAATATATTAAGCAAAATAATAAAAAAGCAATTTTGTATATATATAATAATTTTTATCTAAAAAATTATTTAATAAAACATATGTTATAAAAAGAAAAAATCTAAATAGTACTCCTATACACTTTGTACTCTCTAGCAAAATTTAGTCTGTAATAAGAATTAAAATTAAATTAAATTTAAAAATTAAATTCAAAATTGTATAAAATTGCAAATATTTTTGCTTAGTTGAACAACAGAGATTACTTTAGTAAAATTTTGAGATATTAGCAATTTTATAATTAAGCCTGCAATAAAAATTAGGATTAGATAATCTAGTTGTTACTTTCTCCAAGTAGCAGGTCTAGAGTTTAAATTCCATAGTCAACGATTTTGAAAAATAGGCCTGTAGTACAGTAATCTGTATAATATGATCAGATTTTGAATTGAGGATCTATAACTCGAGTTGCACCAGGGAGTAATTTTGGGAGATCTGCTGGCATTTGTACAACTGGGAAAACCCAGGAACTTAAAGCAATGCAAACTGGTTTAGGGCGGTGCAAATACTCAATAAGTCTATAATCGTGTAAATCTTGAAGATTGCTTTTACCATACAGGAAGCCCATTTGGGAAGTCCCGAGTTGGGAGTAGCAGTAATCTTTGACAGTACTATATGATAGCTAAATTTAAACTGAGGCCAAGATTGGTGAACTAAGCGACCAGATCCTTTAGTAGGAGAATATACTAGCTAAACCACTAGGTATTAGATGTACTGGAAGAAAAAAGCATATGCTCTGAAAGTATAAACCAAGGGGAGGACATCCTTTAGGCACTTAAAGCCTGAGCAGATTGACTTTTCTGGGTTGCTAGCTGGAAGTAAGGAAGAGACCAATTAAGAATCCAGGTAAGAAGATAGTTAAATTGGAATATTGGGGTTGTTGTAAACCTTGCAAGAGCAGGAGTACATAATAGATAACTAATTAGGAAGGTTGTAGTTTGAGATACGGATCAGGTTATGATAGCACCCCAAAAGTTGGCTTGAGATATGAACCTGGTAGCGGCAACACAACATGTACTAGTTAGAAAGAAGTTACCAAACATGCAGGTAAATAAATCTGTGGAATGTGTACCACACTGTTAGGTTTATTACAAGAATAAATGCCTTCTATTGTTGGCAAAGTCTTAGTGTCTTAAACAGTAAATTGTCACCATAAAAAGGGACATATTAAAAGGAAATATGTAGTACTGGTAAAAGCCAGAAAGTTTAATTAGATAGCTTTCTAGTTAGGCTATAAATATGATATCTAGTGTAAAACCCCTAGTATAGCACTAATGCTTTGGGTAGACTACTTAATTAAGCAATCAAAAGTTGTATGTGTAACTAGTTGTACTTTCGTAATACTGATATAACATGTGTCAAGGTCTTCAGATATTGACTACCTGCTTGAACTAATAAAGTGCCAGGGACTATAAGTGGTCATCTTAATATCTAAAAAAAAAAAAAGAATTAGAATTAGGTTAGAGTTAGGCTAGAGTTAGGTTAAAGTTAGATTAGAGTTAGAGTTTAGGTTTAGAGTAGTGTAAAATTGTAAGAAGACCATTTTTGCTTAGTTATATAACAGGATCACTTTAGTAAAATTTTGAGATATTAGCAATTTTATGATAGAAAGCACAAAGTATATGGAGCACTAACTAGTTCAGTCCTATTAGAATTTACTTTATTTTAAATATTTTTCTTTTTTAACAAAAAAGTTATACAAAAATTATAAAAGTAATTTATTTTTAATATATCAAATTTTTACTATAAATATATTTTGATGTGCTAAACAAAATTGTTTTATAAAACAAGATCAATTGTCTTAGTAAAATTTTGACTTCTATATATAGCAACTGTTAGAGGTTGGATTCTTTGAATATCCATCATAGTTATTCAGTAAATATTCGCGGGTTTTGATGTTTACGAATAGCATTGAATGAATATCTGAATTATGAATAGATACCTATCTATTATAACAACCATGAATATTCACAACAAATATTTACGCAAATATTCATGAATTACAAACCCTCAACTATCCATGAATTTTGTGTAACCGAATATTGAATATTCGATGAATATCCATTTTAAACCTAAATATTCATGGATCCAACCTCTAGCAACTGTTAATAATTTTTTAAATTTTTCTAAAAAAATCAAAGAGATAGCTTATTTTTGATAATAATAACAATAGCAATAATAATAAATCTAATTGTTTTTTTAGCATTAATATTGATAATAATATTAATTCAAATCAAATTGTACATGCTTTATTTAAAGAATTATAACAAACAATTGTTAAAAACAATCTTTAATACAGTTTTTTGTAGATATTCGAATTTTTACAAACCTTTAATTAAAGATATTTCGACACCATCTAATCAAATTTGATGACCTTTTTTTTTAATTAAAAAATCACCAGAATTCGAATAAAAAAAAAGGTTTATTGGATTTGGTCAGCTATATATTGAAATTTTTATAACAATAATTGAAACAAATTTCTACTTGATATTCAAATTTTTACAAATCTTTGATCGAAGATACTGTATCTCGACACCCACCTAACCAAAATTTGATAATAATATTTTTTTTCAATTGTAGGAATCACCAGAATTTGAAAAAAAATCATTAAATTTTGGCTAGCTAGAAGAAATATCTTGATCAAAGTTTAAAAACAGTCTTTTATTTAATAGACGTCGATCAAAGTTAACAGGGTGTGGCATTATCAAAAAGGGTTTGAAAATATATAATTAGTCATATATAGTTAGAAAATAATCTGTAGAAAAAAAACTTGCAATAAGGATGACGCTTAAATTACAGTAAGTGTTAGGAATACAATTTTGCATATACTTAGGTTTTGTAAATAGGCTACGTATTCGGTGCATTCGTCGTATATCAGGAGAAAAAGAATTTAAAATGAAAGTATGTCTTACGAAGACATACAAAGAATATTTACTTTGGATTATAATAGTTCCTATTTCCTAATCTACCATATCCCGTAATATCAAGCTGGATGCTTTTCTTTTGTAACACTGGCTAGGTAATTAATCAAGAATCATCAATAATTATTGTGTGAAACTGATATATAAGTACACGCCAGGGCTCGCCTCTTATTCCCGCCGCTGCGGGAAATAAATAGTACTTAAAATACATTCAAATTTTAATTTTCACGTGAAAATATTTATGTTATTTATACAAGTTTTATTGGGAAAAATGCTCTTATAGGTATGACGCATAATAATGGGTACTCCAAATACAATGTTATTGCGAAAGTTAAATTTTAATCAAGCAATGTGCACTTACGACATACGGAAGGTTGATTGTAATAAAGGAATCTTTATTTATTATATTATCGTTAAACACGTATAAGATGTGTCTATCTTTTTTTGCTAAAAGAGGATAATATAATTGTTTATACAGTACCGATAAATATGAGTAATTGTATATTACTTTTTACTTTTTTTTTGCAATCACGATCATAATTGGATTTAATCAAAGATATCACCAACTCCGACCATAACTACATTGAAAAAAAAATCAAAATAAAAAGTATATATTGCGACAAATTAATATAAATAGTGACAATTTTAATAGTTTACGTCAATTTCTTGCACTAAAAAAAAATGCTTCCAAAGTGGAATCCAAGATATCAAAATAATAAACGAGTCCAAGGAAAATTCAACTCTGGATTTCACTCTCGATATCAGAGAAATCGATTTAATTATTCTTCATATCAAGATGACCTGTATGAGCAATCACCCGAAATTATCAATAATAATATTCCTAGAGCAAACGTTGCATCAACATTTCATCAGATGGATCCAAGTATATCAAGTTCGTCGAAAAATTACGGAATTCAAAGCAACGCGTATAACTTTTCGCACGATAATATAAATCAATCAATGGACAACACTCAACCCAATCCAATAAGTGGGTTGCGCAAAGTTTCTGAACTGCGTATCCTTTGACTTTTTGCTCTGGTTTCATTAAATTTTATACAAATTATAAGTATCTCTTTAACAAGCCTTTATTTAGCTGACCGGTTTAGATCGTTATTTCCCTTTGGCGTCTTCAACAGCATTCAATCACAATGTATTGATACCGTAAGTCTAGTATTTAGTTTTGTGTTGATCATTAATCGTTATTGCATTTTGAGTTTATTTCAAATTAATAGGCCTTATACGGGAATGAAGATCTTGTTGTAATCGGTATTATAATTATTAATATTTTATAAAATTTATTTTATCTAATGAAATATGTCGACTTATTACATTAGCTCCAACTGGATCTGGTAAAACTGTTGTATTTGAACTTGCAATGATCAATGTACTCATGAATGATAATGATCATGCAAGGATGGTGTATATAGCACCAACTAAGGTACCTAATAATTGCATGAAATTCTGAAATTCAATATTTATACCCTTTTACTAATTAATATCCATTTGTAAATGTAAGGCAATTTGTTCAGAACGGGCACAGGATTGGTCTCGCAAATTTCAGCATATTGGAATCACATGTATATGCCATCTGGATTTCTATATATTAAGTGAATATAATATTTATTTATAAATGTTTTTATTTTAGGCGGGGAGTTGACCGGAGACACGAACACGGCAAATATTGCCGATATTAAAAAAAGCAACATTATGTTCGTCATTATTTTTATGTAAAAAAATTTTTTTATCGCTTTAATTTTTTTTTTTTTATTAACGAACGCGTAAATTATTTTAACGAAATCATAAAGTGTTACAACGCCTGAAAAATGGGAATCAGTAACGCGTCAATGGTAACAGAATTATCTTTATTTAATGCTCAATTATTCCTGTTCTTTACTAATGAGATTATTATCAGGGTTGATATCAAGAATTTGTTATCGATGCTTAAGCTATTCATGGTACAATTATTATAATTACTGTATCTCAGTTCGGTAATGCTATGTTCAATTTATTTATTAAATAAATACATTAGATTGACGAGGTTCATATATTGCACGAAGATAGAGGTGCCATTCTTGAGGCTGTTGTAAAGTGTCATTCATTCTGCTTCATATTTCCGATAAAAAAAAAATAACCGTAATAAAAGCAATTTTTATTTTTAGGTTAGCAGGATGAAACTCATGGGAACTAATAGCCGATTTATCGCAATTTCTGCAACTGTGCCTAATATTGAAGATGTTGCATCTTGGATCAATCTTGGTTTTCAAAATGATAATAAATTTCCTCAAAATAATGGTATTTTCTGCATTTTTCTTATAAAATATAAATATTCAATTACAAATGCTCAAAGTTAATATATTATTTATTAATAAATTTATAACGGGCAAAAGTCAAAATTCTACAATTTGGAGAGGAGTATCGACCTGTACGACTCTCTCGTCAAGTGTTATCTTATCCAACGGATGGAAATGTATTCAAATTTGATAAAACATTGAACGACAAGTATGTATCATCTTATTTATGTTCATATATGAGCCACCGAATTGTGTACTAATCGTGTTTCTAGACTTCTTGACATAATTCAACAATATTCTAACGGAAAGCCCACAATGGTGGTCAGTTGTATACACATTTCAAAGGCTTCGTTAATAATATGACTTGCCGATTTTCACGTTAAATAATAATCTTGCTGAATAGTTCTGTACCACGAGAAAGTCTACAGAAGATGCGTGTCAAACCATTGTTAAACAACTCAAAAACATGCGCAAGGATCTACCGTGGAACATCAGGCCGGTGTAAGCATCGAGGTGTCTTCGTTGCTTTGATTTTGTTTACTTCGTTCTCAATTTAATCCGACATTTTAGTGAAATGACGTTTCACGACAAACATTTACCAGGTATTCGTAACTTGCTTGATTAGACTGTTATTTTCTTTTTGTAATAAAAATTAATCAAATACTTATAAAATTTTTAGAATTCATAAAATATGGTGTTGTTTTTCATCATGCTGGACTTCATATGCAAGATCGAAAAAATATTGAATCGATGTTTTTACAAGGCGCAGTGCATGTTATATGTAAGTGTTGAGTGATTATTAGAAGTCAATGCTGGCAACAGAGTTATTACACAAAATTACTGATAACCGGCGTTTATCAGGTGCAACATCGACATTAGCTATTGGGGTTTGTTTTTAAATTTCTTTATATTGTTTAACACGTTAATAATTGTTATTCAAGTAATTTTTATTACCAATAGGTGAACTTACCAGCTCATTTAGTTATAATAAAATCAACTATGGCTTACAAAAATGGCAGTTTCACAGAATATTCTGATTCAGAGATTAAACAAATGCTTGGTCGCGCTGTAAGTATCGTATCTTCGATATATATATTTATCGGTAAATGGTGCCTTTTTAATTTTGTCGTTTTTAGGGTCGACCACAATTCGATGATAGTGGAGTAGGTAAGGAAAAAATGCAATAAAAAATTGACAAGCTGGAAATTATCGGTTTAAACCATTTATATTTAGCGGTTATAATGACAAGCCACAATATGAAGCAAAAATATGAAGAATTGGTAACTGGAATTAAAGATAGACTTGAGAGCAGGTAATTTATACTTGCCTTCTTTTGACAGTACTTTTACCCAACTTTCACTAGTCCTTTAATTCACTATTTTACTTGAAAATAGCTTGCATGAAACACTTCACGAACATTTAAATTCTGAAATATGCCTTGGAACTATAGATCACGTGAACTACGCAATGAAATGGTATATGGGATTTGATTTTCGATTGTTATTATTTTGCCAAATCTATGATTCACTATTTAATAATAAATAGGCTCAAAACGACCTTTTTATACGTGAGGATGAAGTCAAACCCTCAACGATATGATCCAGGATTCAAAGAAGGTCAAAATTGGGAAAGAAGGCTTGAAGGAAAGTTTCAAATTCATTAGTATAAACAATAGATGCAATATAGTGAATTGATTTTTTTCCTTGGGTATAGAAATTTGCATGAATGATATGAGAAATCTTGAAATATCCGAAATGATCATGATTAACAATGATAATATCAGGCCGACTAGTGAGCAAACATAATTATGAATTCTTTTTATCCTTAATTGACTTTTTTTTTGACTAATTAAACACTGAAAAATAAGAAATTGGCGAAACAATGGCAAAGTATCATATAAAATATTTGACAATGCAACGCATATTATCCTTATTTTCATGGCACCAAAAGAACTCTACATCGTCAAAAGAAGAAATTATAAAAACTTGCGTATGTGTATATGTATAAAGTTTTTTTTTAGATAGCCTTTTTCACTTACAAAGTAATTTCCTTCACTATGACGCGATACAAAAGTTACAGAAATTATCGCAAGCAGAAGAATTCAATGAAGTAAAATTGCATCGGCATGAAAAACTGGTATGATAAATCCTTAAACTATAATAATTCATGTTGCCTTATTTTCTAAAATGGCAATATTGTTTAGGCGTTGAATAAGCTAAATCAACACGCGGATATCAAATTTCCCCTTTCCGGAAAAGTGAAGGATACCAAAGAAAAAGTTTTTATCATGATCCAAGTATGTACGTTAAAGTGTATGATAAAATCTTTGTAAATTAAAACTTCCTTCAAAAGCTATTACCAGATCGTATTAGGAAATGTGCCTTTAGAGGATTCATCAACACGCGTACAATTCAATACGGAGTCAAGAGTCATCATTCAGCATAGCCATCGTATACTGAAATGTAAAGTATTATTCATATACTGTGTTTTTTTTTTTTTACATTAAATAAAAATTTCATTACCTATATTTTTGTATACAAACTTCAGGTCTCGTTGAGTTAGCAGCATATAAAGAGAATGTCACGATTTTGAAAATTGCAATGGATTTGTAAGTCTTAAATCTTATTACGTGTATTCTGGATTAACGCATCCTTAATACTTTATAAATATCACAAGAGCGAGATGTATGAAGTCAAAAATGTGGAATGATTCCCCGTTACTGCTAAAACAACTAGATGGCATTGGTATGTTTTAAATCAAAGTAATCATGTTGTAATGTACGCAAATTGATAGCCACTTATATCACAAATAGGAGAACAATACGCGAAAAAACTTGCAGATGCTGGAGTTACAAATTTTGAACAGTTAAAAGAATGTGAACCATGGAAAATTGAAACTGTTAGTAGTTATTTAAAATTTTGGAGGAGATTTAGCTCAAATATTGATAATCTTATTAATATTGTAGGCTTGTAATCGATATCCACCATTCGGACATAATGTAAAAGCAGGTCACATGAGATGCTTCTTTTGCTTGTTTAATTTTACAAATAAGAAAATTTATGTAGGTTCACGAAACGGTTTCGACCTTACCAAGTCTTAAGCTCGATATTGAACGTGTAATTATCTTACATAATAATTCAAATCTTTTTATCTTATTTCGTAATGACAACTTTCTACGTTCATTCGAGGATAGGGATTCTCTAACTCACCAGAATATCAAGTATATGTTGTGAATATTTGCCTGAACAACAATGAGAAAGTATCCATAAAGCGTAATGGAATAAATTTAAATGCTGCATTTATAGCTGCTACAGATGATTTATTAATAGAATTTCGTCAAGTGCCGTAAGTAACATTCCATATTATTTTTTATAGCTTTACATAATACTATTTACCAAGTTCAATAACAATAGGTTATGGAAAATTCAACAAGGATTAAAATTTCATTTCAAATCAAATATTCAAACGAATCAATTGATCACTTGTTCCGTTCTACCGGAGGAATTTAGTGAGTACAAGGATTTTGTTGAAAACCAGGTTACTGAATCGCATGGCGTCAAGATTCGTATTTATATGAACTATATAAATTGACTAGTCGGATTGGATATCCACAAAACAATTATACCAAATATTCAACCTGCGGATGTGTGTAATAATATTCTTATTGCACCCACGGAAAAATCCCAGAAGTTCGAAATCAACAAGGTACTGCTCCGTTTGTAAAATTAGACATAAAAATAAAAAAATATTTAAGCATATTAAAAATAATATGAAATTTGTTAAAAAAAAGACGAATTGTGTACAACACCATAAACAGCAGGGCTTTATCGAAAGTAATGAGGTAAAGTATAGTGTTGTGAATGACACCACTTAAATATTCACAGCTTCTTCAAATTCAGATAACCACTATTCCCTTACAAACATCCAATACGAAGGAAAAGCAACATGATAGCACTATTAAAAGTCCAAAGTTACTACCTAACGGTCGAGTAAAATGCAATCATGCTTGTAAAGACAAGCAAAAGTATTTTGAAGTATTTTGTTGTATTGTTGATTGTTATGTATAAATCAATTTTAACCCGATTTAAGAATAGATGTGCGCATGAATGTTGCAAAATTGGGTGCAGACGTGCACCAAAGAAGCGAAAGAATAATATAATTTCTTCACCAACATTTTCATACAATAAACAATTTACCATTGACGAACCATCACCTAAGACAAGGAAAACTCAAGCCACAGATACACAACAAATAGGTTTTGAATTAGAACAGCAGGCATATCAAGATACGGGTGGATCTGGATGGAAAATAAATTTGAACTTGTCGGACGATGATGACGATAACTTAATGGACTTGCAAGAACTTGAAAAGCGGCTTTTAGGTACATCTATAAATAGCGGTGAAATTACTCTTCTTAATAAAAGTTTTTGTTGAAATTATTTGATGGTGAAATTGGTGAAATTAGTTTTTCAATATTAAAAATTAACCGAAACTAATCAAATAAAATAATTATTTGATACTTAATTTAATAGAAATATTAAAAATATTGAAGTTATTGTTGAAATTAAAAAATTGAACATGAATTTCACCCCATCTACAGGTACATCCGATCAAGTTATGTCTAATCATAATGAAGTATCGATTACTAGAAGTCCAGGTTATTCTTATCCGACGCTTGACGAAGAAATAAAATCGCAACCAGCTACTCACGATGAATATGATTTGTCATATCAATCATGGCTCGAAACTTGGGATATAAATGAGTTAGATTTTATTTCAAAAGTGGACTTAGACGATGATAAATTTTCTGAAGAAATGACAATTGAAGACAAGAAAAATATGGCCGGTGTAGAAACAGAAAATCGATCAACCAAAAATAAGACATATGATATGTTGGAAATCAACCTAACTTCCGATACTGATCTCGAAATTTCATGCGGGGGTAAGGATGAAATGAATTATAAGACTTTCACTGAAGCATTAGGAGTTTTCGATTACATACTTCAAACTATTATTTAAAAGTCATTAAACATGTTGAAATAAGATTATCTGTTAGAATAATAATATTAGTTATTGTATAGTATGTTAAAGTTCATAATAGAAGCTGCAATCACTTGACTTTTTAATAATTAAGTTTTAGCATTGGTGGCATATAGGTGAAAAATTCATTTTCATAGGTTTTAATCGGGTTAACATATGAAAATAAAACCGGTTTCGAACTCTACAAATTAAAATAAATAAATTGAAGTTAGTTTGTTGTGCTATATAGCTATTATTTAGATATATTTAGAATACAACTATTCAAATAGTACAATACGGGACAGCTAAAGATATTCACATTTATGTATAAAATATAAAATGCTTATAACTCAGAAACAATTAACTTTAGAAAAAATCTGGTTTACAAATTTGTTGTTTTTAGTCCAAGCTACAATTCTGTTAGAATAGATTTTTATTTTTATTATAAAATTAAAAAATTTTTAGAAATTATGTAATCAAAAATTTGATATTTATTATATAAAAATTTATTATACAAAAAGTTAGCCAATTACAGTAAGACCTCTCTAAGTGCATATTCTCTAAATGCATAATCTTTCTAAATGCATGCCTTTTTTTTTTTTTTTTTTTTTAATTCTTTGACAGTCTTGTTGGTGCTCAAATACAAATTATATTACTATTAGACTAAAAACAAAGTTTAAAAATTTCTAATAATATCTATTTAAAAATTGCAAGCCCGGCATCACCCAGCTACATCATGTGCACCCAGATGCGACTTGTTGCACCAACCCACATGTGGGTTGGAAGACCTTGTCAGCTCTATCAAGAACTAAAAAATACATAGCTTTATTTGACCTCAACTTATATAATACATATAAACTTTTACCTTCTTAAATGCAATATCTCTAAATGCAAGATTTTTGGCCATCTCTCAGCTATGTATTTAGAGAGGTCTAACTATATATTTAATTATATAATTTCAAATCTAGGTGAGCCTTGACCACTCTAGTGGGTTTAGATTGCAGATAAATAATTAGTCTAAGCATCAAACCTCTCTAAATGCAATGTATACAGACTAGTCACAATTGTGCATTTAGAAAGAGCCAATCAAATTGCAGCTTTTAATATTTAATCTGCAGGCTTGTATAATACAACTTGAATACTGAATTCTGATTGGCTATATGCATTTAGAGAGATTAGTATAATATAGAAAATCTTTTGAGTAAATGTGTATTTACAGAATATAAAATATATCTCCTAAATTATTTTGCAGCCAAATTTGTCTGCAAATTTTTTTAAATTTTAAATTTTTCTAATAAAATTTTAAATATTAATTTTAGCTATATATTTTCTAAGTAAAATATTTAA